TTGGGTTGTTGGAGTTGTTTTGTTTTGGTTTTGGTTTAGAGTGAGTGTCAGAGTCACCTTTTCTCTTCACCTCCCTAGTGTTTCATCTGGTCCTTTCCTTTCCCACCCACACCCCGGTTTCCCGCGTTTCACCGAGGAAGAGAGACAACAGTGGATAACTGGTTACTATACGGACCAGTACTTTTCCAAGGTTGTCAATAGTCTAAAGAGAGAGAATGACTGGTCTAATCCTCAATATCCCCATTTCCATTATTCGGATTCCGGCTTACTCTATTTCGAGGATGGCGAAGGGAACAACCGCTTATGTGTACCCGAAAAACTCCGACCGGAGGTAATGGCCGAGGTTCATGATGGTATCACCGAGTCGGCGCACGCCGGTTATCATCGCTGTTACAACCGGCTCGCTGCGACGTACTACTGGCCGCAAATGTCTCGCGACCTTAAGCAGTTCATCTCTACTTGCGATATCTGTCAGAAAACTAAGCCGCGTCGCCATGCACCAATGGGTCTCCTTCAACCCATTCCGATTCCGTCACAGCCGTTCGAGGTCATCTCAATGGACTTTATCCCTGAGCTACCTGATTCTTATGGCTGTAACAACATACTGGTCATTGTGGACAAATTGACCAAGTATGGTATCTTCATTCCATGCTCCACCAAGATCGACGAAGTCGAGACAGCACAACTATTCTTCAAGCATGTGGTGTCGCATTTTGGCTTGCCGCGCCAAGTCATCTCGGATCGTGATTCTCGGTGGCGCAACTCATTCTGGAGTGAGATCTGCCGGTTGATGGGGATGAAGCGTGCCTTGACGACAGCATATCACCCACAAGCCGATGGCCAAACAGAGGCCCTCAATCAACTCTTGGAGATAACCCTGCGTGCCTATGCCTCACGCGACGACTGGTCGCGACATATCGACCAACTGGCATTGTCCTACAACACTACACCACACTCTAGCACCACATTTTCCCCTTCCTATCTTCTCCGCGGCTTCCAGCCGGTTACCCGGTCATCCCTACTGTCAACTCTACTGCCTGTCGAACGGCCTTCAAATACTGTTGGGGGGGAAGAGGTTGTTATCAATGAAAAAGCGGCTAATATGATTCAAGAATTTGAAGCCCATCGAAAGCGAGCGAAAGATGCCCTTCTCTTAGCACAAGTATTTCAAAAACAGGCCTACAATAAAGGACGCCTTCAAATTGAATTTGAGGAAGGAGATATGGTCGTCATCAACCCACACTCACTCAATCTTCTGCGCGCGGAAACAGGCCGAGGTCAAAAATTGCAAATGCGGTACGATGGGCCCTTTGAGATAATAAGGAAACTTTCACCGCTGACATATCACCTTCGTCTTCCTGTGTCGTACGGAATTCACCCAGTAATTAACATTGCACATCTTGAAGCATACAAATCTTCTCCCTCTAAACTCGGCCCTCGCGTCACAAAGTCCTTGAATCGGGATGACTTTGATGTCCTTCCCGAGGAAGAAATCGAGCAGATCATCGCCGAGCGGTGGCGCAAAGTGCGAGGCCGTCGGGTGCAACAGTTTAAGGTACGATGGAAGAATTTTGGCTCAGATCATGACGAATGGTTGTCTAAGCGAAGCTTGAGAAATGCGCCACTAGTGTTGGAGCAGTGGCTTTCTGCGAAGCACTAAGCTGCATATAAACCACCCATAGTCTTCATGTTCTTCATCTCTTTTTTCGCTGCTGGCAGCCCACATTTCCTCGTCACTCTCTTTTTGCGCCACCTCGATGCCCGACTCCACCGAAATTAACAGCTTCCATTTTGCATCTATCCCGATGGGAAATATTCGATCTCCGCGGGAGATACTCAATGACCGGGGTTCACGGAGCATGTACAGCCCCCTACATCCGTCATTGACTGATCACGCTACAGTTGTCCACCGTAGCCATGCCTCAGACACCACCGCGGACTCAGTTTCCAGCCTTCCTTCCCTTATATCTGCACACTCCTCCTTTTACAACCAACCAGTCGTTCCATCCGCGTCGTCAGAAGCCTCCGTGGCCACTTCCTCGGTCGCTTCCCTCCTGTCCAGCCTTCTCACGCCCATCGAATCCCCCAGTGTTGTCATTGACTCCGGTGCAACCACCCAGGGAGTCCACGCGAAACATCCACCAAGCTTCGATCTAATCAATGTCCTCGACACCCTGCATGCCATTTTCGGCGCCCACTACTACCTGTCAACTACAGCGCAGGCCTACTTTGCAGTCGCCGGCTTTCTGTCCACACTTATCCATCCTGACATCACCATCGACTTTCGCCTACCGCGCGGGTTTGGCCCATCCATGGTGGTCTTCCGCCAACTGGAAGCAATTATCGACAGCTGTATCGACTTCACGCTCGCAGTAGCGCACGACGCAAATCTCACGATCACAGCTGGGATGAGCTTGCCGACGTCCATTCCTCTTGACATCTTACATGCTTGGCGTAGTCTTGGTATCCCAGACCCTGTCCATCTGGCATTTCGCCTCCGGAACCCGCTGGGCCGGCAAGAACTGGTGTTTTCATCCCCTGCTCCACTTCGCGCGCTCATCGGATCAATGACGCAAGTCGCCAAGGAGTCCCTCCTCTGGATTGCTCATCTCGTCCCCACGCCTCCCGCTCTCTGCGCGAAGCTGTGCCGTGGAACGTGGGCGCTCCATTTGGTATCGACAAACACACTTACCTGGAGTACACGGCTTGGCACCGAACAACCGACGACTTCGCTGATTTGGTTGCGCACATGCAAGACCCCGGTGTCAGAAGTGATGCCAATCATCATCTGGCACGGATTTGCGGCCCGACCATGCCAAATCCACACATCACACTGTTTCTTGAGTCGGGAAGCGCTGCTTTTCGGGTGGAACCAGGAGTGGTGGAATTTGCAGATGATACTATTATATTCCTAGAGCAGCGTATGGCTGAGATGTTGGTTTGAATTATGTATTTACCTGTTCTTCTTTATCTGCGTGCGTGTCGACTGGGGGGGCTATGTGATGGATAACATCCCTTTCCGACCAAGTCTCCCCGCCCACTGATGACATCAAAAATGATGTGATCGCCGCGGCCCGCAGCCCCGCAGCGCCGCAGCCCCGCAGTTGAATACTGCGGGCCAGTAGATATTTAATGGAGTCCTCCCCATTGTGGAGGACAACTCTTACTTCAATTTATCTTAGTTGTCTACAACTTTACACTCCGTTGCCTCGGTTGACGTGTCAAAGCTCCTCCGACAAGCTACGAAACTCTCCTGACTTTGCACGGCCTCGGTCTGCAAGTATTCGAGAGGTAAGGTGAACTACTTTTGGGTAAAGAGGAGTTCCGAACCGCCTACGCGACAACCACGTCGCGCGTCACTAAGCAGTAAACAAGCCTATTCTCATACAGAGCAACACTGTGGCCAGTGACCTGGGATCCATAACTTTCCGTCAATTTTGGGAGATAAAGCTGCAGAAAATACTTTTTTGTGTAAAATGTTGTGGAAGATCTAAATTTTTACAAACTGTGTGTAAAATTATTACTTCCCCACTTTGACCACCATAGGCAGGCAGGTTAGGCATGCATGGATAGTGAGAGAAAATGACAGCCCAGGTGTCACATGCAATGGAGCAACACCGTGGCCAATAAGCTACTTGAAGGGCAGTGCGGTAGGTTGGCCAAGTTGGCGCAAAAGAAACTACTGCTGATTTCCAGCAGCTCAGAGCTAACCAGACAGCACTGCACAAGTCCTTAGCAGAATCAGAGAATCCAGATGACAATGTCATGCTGAGGTAAAAGTCCCTTTATGTTGTGGAAAGTATTGCGGGAAAGTTGTGAAGCTTGACATACTTATGTGAAGAATTTTGACACATGAATGTGATCTACAACTTGTTGTCAAGTCTGAGAAATAAAGTTGCAGAAAACAGTTTTTGTACAATACTGTTCTATTTTATTCAGTCTGTTGGTCATATGTCACACCAGTTTCAGACTGACGAAATTTTTTTCGTCAGTCACACTGTCCCACCAGAACTTGGGCTTAAAATTTATCTAAAAAAGGTAATTTGTGTGATTTCCGGCGCCTTCAGCACTGAAATTCCCTAATGGGGAAGGTGCAATGAAAGGTTAGCTACTAAGAGTGCCAAAGAAGAATCTGCGTTGTCGGTCATTCCGAATGAGGTGCTGGTGGAGGTCTTCACGCACTGCCTGCCGCCATACCCGGCATGTCCGCCCTTGTACGGCGCCTACTCGCCGACGCAGCTCACCCATGTCTGTCGTCTCTGGCGCGACCTGGCAACCGCGACTCCGGCACTGTGGCGCGCAATCAGTCCCGACCTGATCCCCAATGCAGGCTCACCCGTGGACGAGCCTCTCGCGGAGAAACTTCTCGGTACTGCGGAGACATGGCTGCGCCAGTCAGGCACGCTGTCGCTGTCGGTTGTCCAGCGCTGTCGATGGGACCAGCACCCCGAGCCCCTGGCCGTCGCCAGCCTTGCGCTTAGCGCCTTTCTCGCGCATCACGAGCGCTGGGAGTATGCCGAGCTAAGGGTTCCGCCCAGTCCCGATGTCTCTCAGGACCCAGCAGAGAACGCCGACATTCACAGGGCAATGCCGCGCCTCGTTCGCCTCCGGCTAACCGCAAGTTACCTTGGGTCCGAGGCCGTGCTGGGACACATCCACGCGCCAAAGCTGCGCACGCTGTACGCACGCGCGAGCAACGACACGTTCTACTTTTGGCTCTTCGACCCGCCCACGTGGCAGCGGCTCACGTGCCTGAAGCTGAAGGACCTCCCGCCAGACTACGCCGCACAGATCCTCGCCCAGGCCACCGGTCTCGTGCACTGCTGGCTCCGCATCTGAGACAGCGAGGCTGCGCCCGTTTCCGAGCGCATCCACATGACGTCCACCAAGCCCCCTGGGACGGCGACATCAGACAAGTCAAGTTGGCCCGCCGCACCGCAAACAAACAGGGCACGGCCTTCAAGAAAGCGCAGCGCGGCCCGGTCACCGTGCAACACCTCATGGCTCTCTACTCTAAACTTTCCCTGAACGTCCCGTTTGACGCAGCCGTCTGGGCACTCGCCTCCGCAGCATTGTGGGGCTGCCGCCGTCTGGGAGAACTCACCATCCCTTCCATCCAGGGCTTTGACCCACTCCGCCACGTTGCCCGCAGCGCTGAAATTAAACGTGTCAAGCACGGCAACTCTTACACGTCTTCGTTCCACATCCCATGGACCAAATCCACCCAAGAACGCGGCGGAACGGTGATCCTCACAGACCGCGAAGACGAGCTCTGCCCGGCTGTGGCCTTGCAGAACCACCTCACCGTCAACGCCAACCTCCCCCGCCAATGCCCCCCTCTTTGCCTTTGTCCAGCCCGGTGGCCGCTGGCTCCCAATGACGAAAGATTGGTTCCTTACACGCTGCACGGACATCTGGAAGAGCTGCGGCCTTTTGGCGGTCGCGGGGCACAGCTTCCGGATTGGTGGATCCACCGAGCTTCTGCTGGCGGGCGTCCCGTGCGAAGTCGTGGCGGCCACCGGCGGGTGGTCTTCCCTCGCTTTCCTTCTCTACTGGCGCAAACTCGAACACATCATTGCGATGGCTATCGGAAAGGCATACGACAAGAAGAAGATTGAAGAAGTTGCTTTGGTGTTCGAACGTTTCCGAGTCGACAACAACATCCAATTAGCCCACGACGAAGATTTGTAACTACCATCATTACCTGCTACTAGATGCCTTTCCTTCACCTTCGCGTGCTTCCTCCTCCGTTTCCCCTACGGGTAATTTTCTCCTCTTTTTCCCCCCCTCTCGCTCTGCTCCCTGGTTGGTAGCTGGCCCGAGCCTGCGGCGCTGCCCATCGTGGGTGAGCAGAGCTCCAGATTGCGAGATCTGGGCAGCCCGCAGGCTCCCTCGTCTTCTCACGCTCAGAGTCGGCGGTCCAGGCCCGGGCCTTTTAGCCCGAGGCCGGCGAATGCTCGGGACTCCCCAGAGCCCGCTCGCGGCCACCCAGCCGCGCCCGGCCCGGGCCCCCGTTTCGGTCCGCGCCGTGCTTGGCCCCGACTCTTCCCCCCACTAGCGCGCACTTGTGTGAACGCTAGGCTTGAGCGGGGCTTTGCAGAAGCCCCTCCCTTTCTCCTTCCATCAGCGCAGATGACCAGACAGCTAACTTATTTCAAGATATCCTTGACGCGAGGCACGAGCGGCTCAAGGGTATCTTCAAGTTCCCACCACCATGCCCGTGTTGTTGATGTCCTCCCAATTTGGCGCATATGCTAACTGCCGCCACCACTGGAGGGTGCACCGTTTGAGTCGTTTGTCAGGGGAACCCCTGCTTCGGCCTCCTTCGGACCCTCCGAACGCATCCGAGGCGCATCCGACCGGCGCCCCCTCGGACGCTCCGACCCACCCCGACCATCATCCACGGCCTCCTTCGCCCGCACAATCACTGATCCGTCAAGACCCTCTCAACGATCACCTTGGGGCAGAGCCTGCAACGCCGCTCAGGCCTTCTGCGCTCTACGTCGGCAGTTATGGACGACCAGTATATAGTTGGCGCCCTAGCAGGCGGACCCTTAGAGTTTCTTCTCTTTGGATCCTCCCCTGCTAGGTCGGTCCCTCCGTGTATTTCCGTAGCTTTTATTCACGCTTTGGATCCTCCCCTGCTAGGCTTTCGTCGGAGTCTCCAGGGTTGCCCTTACATCGTTGTCCCTCGAGCCAGTACATACCAAGCCCATTCACAGCCTGCCCCTCCAATATGCAGGCCCACCCACCAGCCAGCAAGATAGATTGATGAGCTAGATTCCCAGATGCACCTAGTAGAGCGGGGCAACCCGTGAATCCCCCAAATACAAGACAGTGATATAAATACTAAAACGAAAATGATAAAATCAGGTAGATCATCAGTAAGAAAAGTAGTCCATGCATATAATTGTATTGGTATCGTTTTGCCATACGGCCCAGAGTTGAAGATCCAGGTCCAGATGACTGGTATCGTGTATAGTGGTATCGATGACCTGTGTAAATCTTCCATATTCGCGACCATCTAGTTTTCCTTATGAAAAATCCCTTGATCTTGAGTAGGATAAGTTGATAGCTCGACTTCTCTGCGAACTTTTCTTAGTCAAGATTTCAAAATCACTGAGAGCAATCTGATAGATTTTGACTGGTTCTTTGGCAGATAACTCCCTAGTCGTCCATTTGGGACTCATGTCAACTCTGAGACGTGCGCTGAGCAACAAAATCAACAAAAATAGTCATTTCCTGGTGTCAGGGGAACCTCCCTTTCGGCCCGGAGACGTGCCCGATTCCTGTCCGACTCCGGTTCCGACTCCAGTCCGGCCCTCCATCTCGCCCGCACAATCACCGATCCGTCAACGCCCTCCCGACGGTCACCCTGGGACCTTGCCTGCGACGCCGCCCAAGCCTTCTGTGCCTGACAGCGGCAGCTACGGACAAGCAGTATATAGTCAGCTACCTAGCAGGCGGACCCTCAGAGTTTCTTCTCTTTGGATCCTCCCCTGCTAGGACCTTGATCTCAGGCCTCCGGGGTTGCCCTTACACCTGGTCTGTCCCAGACTGTGGCTTATCACCGCCATAGGCAGTTCTTTCATTTGATACTACGTCACATGAGCTCCCAAAACGGAAATACATCACGTGTGCCTGACCTTCCACCTCCAACACGCCCTTCCGACATGTTTGAACTTTTTTTGGGACTTGGTTCATACCAGTACAATGTGACATCTAGTGACAAAACATATTTCTACCTATACAAACCCTCACAACACCTCTCCATGGCTTCATTCACGGGGAAGATTTAATTCTTGACACCTTTTGAGACAGCATTACTCCCTTGGGAGACCCTCAAACAAGAAAAGTGTTGTGGGAAAGTTGTGAGGCTTGACATACTTATGTGAAGAATTTTAACACATGGATGTGATCCACAACTTTTTGTCAAATCTGGGAAATAAAGTTGTGAAAAACAGTTTTTTGTACAATACTGTACTATTTTATTCAGTTCGTCACTCACACATCACACCGGTCTCAGACTGACAAATTTTTTTCATCAGTCACACTGTCCCACCAAAATTTAGGCTTAAAATCTATCCAAAAAAGGTAATTTCTTGTGATTTCCGTCGCTGAAATTCCCTAATGGGGAAGACACAACGAAAGGTTAGGTTCATCGTGCATGTCACACACCTTTGGGGGTGACGAATTGAATAAAATAGTACAGTAAGTTATGGAAAATTGAAATTTTCACAAAGTGTAGATGAAATTATGTATTACTTCCTCACTTTGAGCGCCATAGCTATAAAATCAGGCAGGTTTCACTAACCAACATTGAAACACAAGTTGCTTCAGGTTTTCCCGACAGTTTTCAGAACTAGAAATACTTTTCCTAATCTGGTGTGTTAATATTAATCGACCAATCATGTGACTTGACTCACATGCTTGATCCAATCAAGGAGGATGACTAACGCCACGACGCTTGACATGAACCACGATGGGTGAGTCTGACGATTATGCTTCCGCTAGACCCAACCTCTCCCTAGGTATTTCCCACAAACGATGGACCTGCTCGGCGCCCTAGATGAACCGTCAACTACGTCCACTAAGAGTGCCAAAGAAGAATCTGCGCTGTCGGTTATTCCGAATGAGGTGCTGGTGGAGGTCTTCACGCACTGCCTGCCGCCATACCCGGCATGTCCGCCCTTGTACGGCGCCTACTCGCCGACGCAGCTCACCCATGTCTGTCGTCTCTGGCGCGACCTGGCAACCGCGACTCCGGCACTGTGGCGCGCAATCAGTCTCGACCTGATCCCCAATGGCTCACCCGTGGACGAGCCTCTCGCGGAGAAACTTCTCGGTACTGCGGAGACATGGCTGCGCCGCTCAGGCACGCTGTCGCTGTCAGTTGTCCTGCGCTGTCGATGGGACCAGCACCCCGAGCCCCTGGCCGTCGCCAGCCTTGCGCTGAGCGCCTTTCTCGCGCATCACGAGCGCTGGGAGTACGCCGAGCTAAGGGTTCCGCCCAGTCCCGATGTCTCTCAGGACCCAGCAGAGAACGCCGACATTCACAGGGCAATGCCGCGCCTCGTTTGCCTCCGGCTAACCGCAAGTTACCTTGGGTCCGAGGCCGTGCTGGGGCACATCCACGCGCCAAAGCTACGCACGCTGTACGCACGCGCGAGCAACGACGCGTTCTACTTCTGGCTCTTCGACCCGCCCACGTGGCAGCGGCTCACGTGCCTGAAGCTGAAGGACCTCCCGCCCGACTACGCCGCACAGATCCTCGCCCAGGCCACCGGTCTCGTGCACTGCTGGCTCCGCATCTGGGACAGCGAGGCTGCGCCCGTTTCCGAGCGCATCCACCTCCCGCATCTGCAGACATTTGTCATCACCGCCCACCAGCGCCGCACGATGACGGAGCTGTTGGATGCACTCGTCTTGCCCTCCATCAAGCGCCTTGCGATCCGCGAGGCCTTCCTCGGCGCGCTCGCCGCCGCCGGCCCGCAGAAGAACGCCTTCGTCCCTGCCTTGGCCCATCTTTTCTCCCGCTGGGGATCCAGCCTGGCCCGCCTTGCCGTGCTCGACTGCGAGCTCATCGAAGTCGCAGCAGCGGGCGCCAAGGAGCCATTTTTGCAGGCGTTTCCATCGCTGGTAGATGTGGAGCTCTTTCTCGAGGACGAGGAGCGAAGCGTGCTGCCATTCGTGGCGGTGGGCGATGCTTGGGATGATAATTGGCCGCTGCCGTCGCACGATTGACGCCGAGGGTTGTCTTCGGACAATCAATCCAATATATTCCTGATATGTAAAAATTAGAGGCGAATCAAGTGATGGGGGACATTGAATATACGACTATGTAGTTATGAGGTATGATTGGACGCGACTCGTGGAGTTGGCCGTGGCCACGGAGCTGCGTCTTCGAATTCTTGCGACCTCCCGCGCTTCTCTGTCTCAAGCGTCGAGCTTAAGATTGACGCGACGTCACCACGCAGAATGACGCCACTATGAAAGCACAATAAACAGGATTAAGGTGGTACAGTTGCTAGACACAGGGCTACACAATACGGCTGGAAAACTAGCATTTCTGTAATTAGATGAGTGTTGAACGTGAGCGCACACGAACTACGGCGCACCATACAGAGGACAGGCTTTAGGTTTTCTTGTTTCTCGCGCTGGACATAGCGTCTCTATTTCAGGCTCGTCAGGTCAGATGGACAGGAAAACCTTGGACGTATACGCACCAGGCACAGGTCTCGGGATTGAACGGGCATGAAGGGTTGTGTGTCCCCCGCCAGCCACAGTGGCAGCACTGCGCGGAGCGGTAGCTTTCTCGGAGCGACTCATACGGCTTCAAGTTGGACGCTACGCCAGCGACTGGTAGCTCGGCATCTCGACGGCGGCGGGAATTCGTCGCAAGAATAGTTTGCTGGGTAGGGAACGCTGGGTAGGCAGAGCTCGACATAGTGGTGGGGGAAGAGCACAAAGCCTGCTTGCGCCATATATGTACCGCCTTCGCGGGAGGAGCGAGTCCGTGTGGAGCCTAGAGCGTGCGTCGCTATGTGGCGAAGAGAAGAGAAGCACGGACAGCTGTCGCACACAGAGGCCGGCCGACGAGCCCCCGGAGTTGCCGCAAATATATCCAGCCGTCACAGGCCTCCGGCGATCGGCGATCGCCGGGGCCAGCAACATGAACAAGCCCTGGCTGCATCGTCCAATGGCGCTGCCACCCGTTCACGCAAGTACGAGCGACAGACAGCTCATACCGACGCCACAGGACGCCCTTCCTCGATTTAGCGTCGTCCTTGCACTTCGCTTCGAATTCGCCGTCCACCCATGCCCGTCCGTTTCGGCACCACGTGGCTATGGCGCCGCTGGCCAGACCCCCGCATCGAGTAACGGCCTTGCCTCCTCGCAAAACGGCGTTCTTGCGGACGTGCTTCTCCCCTAACAAGCTCGACTTGACAGCGTCAATCATCGAGGCTAGAGCCTTCGCTGCGCTTGGCTTCCGAAGAAGGACACAGAACGCGAGCGCTCGGCCACGAGTCGCGTGGAACCACGGGCGGTGCTCTTCCAGAAGCCGGAGGACAAGCTGGTCATATTGTGGTCTAGATGCACGCGTAGAAGGATGGTTTCTTCGAGAAAAAACTGAGCTTGGATGAACAATACATTACAAGCTGTCACATACATGAAGCAACTCGAAGAGGGGGGGAAACACAATTTCTGGACTGAGTAGACCATCGCCCACACTAGTGTGATCCATGTCCATGTGCCCAGGCTAGGATTTCTTCCAAGTTGAGTGTCCTGGCAAACCAAGCGGACGGACGGTGTCACGGTGAAGTGAAGAAGTCGGGCAAATACTCTACTAGTACTTGAGCATACGCTGCGAACACAGCGAAATGGTGGCGAGAGAGTGAGACAAAAGCCAGGTATATTGGTAACCTGACAGTATGAGTTGATAGCTGGGTTTGGATTGGAGACACGAACCAAGGCTTGTATCGCTCCATGGCACCAAAAAAAATCAGTTTGGCGCATTACGCCTAAATGGCCCACATCCTCGTTGTTGCCGAAGGGAAGCGGCGGAGTGCAGGGCTTTACAGCGACACGCGTATTCACATGGAGCTGACTTGCAAAAACCGCCCATGCCCGGGAGGAAAGCAACAGAGGGGCGAAGCTTGTCCAGTATCATGTATGGGGACTTTCCATAGCGGCCGCTTATGAGGATTATCGCGTTTGCAGGGTCAGTGCAGGCGACTGGCGCGAGGGTCAACCAACCGCAAGACGATTGAGTGTCCCGGTAAAAGGGCCCGAAAAGCCACGCACCGATACCACGTCGTTCGGAACTCGTTCCGGTGTCGCAGCAATTCAGCCACCTACGAAGGGAGTCGACATCGACTAATTGTGTTTCAAGAGCAAAGGTACGCACGAATAGGGCCTGTACTCTTTCCGCGCGTCTCTTCGACCGGCTTAGCCTGTTCCTCCTTCAGCGCTTCCCGAATGTCGATTGAAGGGTAACGACCCGCGGGTACCTGTCATGACACTATTGTCGAGTGGAGGAAATGGAGAGGAAGGCGGCTTTGCGATGGAAGTCAGTTCATGGAATGGTTATGCAATGGACACATACGTTTGGAACGAGTACTCCCCGCTCACCAACTTGAATCGACACTGCCTGCACCGAAGCCGCCCTTCTAGCGCCACTCGATGTTCCTCCGCGCGACGATGCCGACGACGGGGAGAGCGGAGGTTGACGCAGCGAGGCGGCAGCCGGCTGAAAAGGGCGAGACTAGAAGTGGAGCCGGGAATGTGTCGACATGGTGAGCACTGACTAACGATGCGTGGTCATTCCTTCAAGACCAAATTAGTCGGGAACACGCGTCCGCAGTGGTGGAATGGACGCACCTCTGAGATATCCTGCCCCTCATCGTCAGGGAGAATAAATGGCCCTCTGAAGCCGACAAACTCCCTCGTTCCAGGTTTTCAGCGTGTCCCGGTCCAGCCAGTCGACAACTCGAGGTCCTGTCGTTCTCCTACAACCGCTGGCACTGTGGCGACGATGCACACTTGTAGCCGAGCGCTACACAAGACGGGAGAGGGGGAGTGGTCAAGATGGCGGGAAATGCCAAGGCTGATAATGATCATTCCATTTTTCGGCTTCCTTTCTCCCGCCACCTCCTCAATTTCCAAAGGGATGCGTACGCTGCTTAGTGCCTCGCAAGTCGCAACGAAACACGCTGCCCGTTACCCAGATGCCCTGCCTCGGAATGCTCTTGAATCCTCCAGACCTCATGGATAAGCGCCAAAATTCAATCTCGCTGATAAGTAGTGTGAAGCGCTTACTCGTATGTTCCTTGTCTGCATTGCACAAGATGAAAAGACCTTACCCATATGCCACAGGCACAATACCGTTGCGATACTTATCACTGCATCCCTCGCGACCACCTCTCGCCTCACGGTGTCCCCCCTGCTGCCGAATTCAAAGTTTTGAGAATGGCAATCGGTCCCGGCGCGATTGGATTGATATGATAGGCGGCGCAAGACGAAGCACGCAAGACATGTAACCCAACCCAGCATAGCCTGGTATTCAACGGGGACGGGGTATTCAGGTCCAAACGCACTTGGGAGCGCGCCGCGGGAGTGTGGGCCCAACGGAACGAGACACTAGCCGGGTAGTCGTCTTGAATGGGACTATTCACAGCTGCGAGTGTCAGTTTGCAAATCTACTTGAAGGGAACCGTGCCAGTGACTTCAATTGACGCCCACCGAAACCCTTCGGCGTACACAAGGCCGTCGGAGCCCGGCCGGGCGCATCCACCAGAAATAGCTGTCGCGAGGGGAAACCACCCGCTTCCCCAGCGCGTCGTCAAATTCGGTACACATCTCGATGATAGCGAGTCTCTCTAAATCGGACGCTATACAGTATGTGGTTGCACATAGTGGTTTTCAATTCTCGCTGTAATAACACTGAACAGAGATATAGAGATCGTCACAATATTCAATACCACCCTAGGGCCAGGGCGTAGCGCATCATGTAGCCTCTTTTGCACGACGTGATTCCCGCAATTAATTGACGCCAAAGGAAGATATAAAGGACGACCTATTCTCGTCCTCAGCCACAGCTCCAAAGCGCTATGGTCCTCTTCTTTATCATCGCTTTCCTTTGCGTCTCAGTCTTCGCGGCCCAGTATCCCTCGTTTGGGACGGTGAAGACGAGCACTTCCAATGGTGTTATGCACGTCGTCCTCAACAATACTTTCTCTGAAATCAATCTACTTGACGCCCACCTTGCATTCGACCTCGCCAACCTCATCGCGCGCCTGCAAGTCAACGGCACGGACTCGGACATCCACGTCGTCGTGTTCTCCAGCGCGAATCCGCACTTCTTTATTGCCCACAGCGATATCAACATATTCGTCAATGGATTCCGTGCGTCTTTGCCATCGTCGTTATTGAACGGCTGTCGTTGACGCCATAGCAGAGGGGCTGGAACCGTTATTCGACCCTTTCACACCCGATATGGGCTTCCTCGACTCGCTGTTTTGGAATATCACCCAGCTTCCGCAGGCGACGATTGCGATTATCGAGGGGGTGCGTGTGATGTCCTTCCTTATCTATCCTTCTTGTCGTTGAAATCAAGTCCAGCGCGCACGTGCAGCCGGCAACGAATTCCTCATGGCCTGCGACATGCGCTTCGCGCTTTCTTCGCCGGAAGTGCGCCTGGCCCAGACCGAGCCCTCCGTCGGAGGCAATCCCGGCACGGGCGGGGGGATGTACCTCTCGAACCTCATCAATCGCGGGCGCACATTTGAATACCTGCTGTCCGCCACGGATATCGACGCCGACACCGCCGCGCAGATCGGCTGGGTCAACCGTGTCTTCAAGACCAAGAACGCGCTGTACGACTACGTCGACAAGCTGGCAAAGCGCATCGCCATATTTCCGCTTGCCGGCATCGCGGGCACGAAGCAGGGCATCAATGCGGTCAGCCGCCCGCCGCGGGATGTCTACATCCAGGACGCACAGGACGTGATTGTCAAGCTCTTGATACAGTCGTCCCTTGGCCAGTCATTGTTGAAGAAGGTGTTGAAGGCGACGAATAACCAGAGCATTGGTGCGTTCGAGCTTGATTGGCCGAACCAGGTGGTGCAGATCTACAAATAGAGTACTATTCCCAGTCCGATATTGATCGTCTCCGGCCGATGACTTGTCTACATATCATTTAGTAATATTAGTAATTTAGCTTCCAAACACCAAGGATCACCGGCAATTAGCAAGTCACTCACTGCCAGTGCCAGTGTAGCGGTACTATAGTAGTAGTAGACTACTTGCTAATCAAAGGGACACTGTGCTGTTTCCACAATTTTCCCTGTGAAAGGTTAGATAAAAAATATAAAATCTTTACATATTTCTTTTCTGAGGGGATATTTGAGCTTTTTTTAACTAACCTTTGCCTGAAAAATGTGAGAGAAAAACTTGAGGTTTTTTACCTAACAATGAACATGTCAGACTATATATATATAGAGAAAGAGAGAGACTAGGACAATAATTTCAAGTTTTTGTAAGGAGTTTCTGCTGAGAAGAAATCAGGAAAAGAAAAAATTAAGGTGCTTTTCAACATTCTTGCTTGTAACATTCTTGCTTGTCACATGTTTATTTTAGACTAGGAAAATTGTTGCACAAATGGGTGACTTTCCATAAGGGAGAAGAAATTAGATATAATTTCCAAGTGGTGCCAACCTGTCATTTTTTAAGACAGAATTATGTGTTTAAAGAGGAGGGCTTCCCGGAGGAAGAGAAATTTCCAGCGCAATTTGATGGATGATGAAGATCATTGATCATCTCCAAACAATGTCCTCTCTGCCCTACATATCATCACTGGTGGATCAATGTGAGTAAATTGTCAGAAGCTGTAAGGGCAACCTCGCGAGGCTCGAAATCAGAGTCCTGAGCAGAGGGGGAATCCTTAGTGAACTATTACAACAGGAAGGGACGCTACAGACTCACCTGAGCAGAGGGGGAATCCTTAGAGAACAAGCCAAGGAGCCCTCTGCCCAGGTGCACTACTATATACCAGTGACCGGAGTAATGATAGAGTGACTGCATAGCGACGGATGACAGATGGGAGAAGTCAGGCATCGCTAATGGACTCTAGGTGAGTGTCGAGTAGCCCTTGAAGCTGCTGAGAAGAAATCAGGAAAAGAAAAAATTAAGGTGCTTTTCAACATTCTTGCTTGTAACATTCTTGCTTGTCACATGTTTATTTTAGACTAGGAAAATTGTTGCACAAATGGGTGACTTTCCATAAGGGAGAAGAAATTAGATATAATTTCCAAGTGGTGCCAACCTGTCATTTTTTAAGACAGAATTATGTGTTTAAAGAGGAGGGCTTCCCGGAGGAAGAGAAATTTCCAGCGCAATTTGATGGATGATGAAGATCATTGATCATCTCCAAACAATGTCCTCTCTGCCCTACATATCATCACTGGTGGATCAATGTGAGTAAATTGTCAGAAGCTGTAAGGGCAACCTCGCGAGGCTCGAAATCAGAGTCCTGAGCAGAGGGGGAATCCTTAGTGAACTATTACAACAGGAAGGGACGCTACAGACTCACCTGAGCAGAGGGGGAATCCTTAGAGAACAAGCCAAGGAGCCCTCTGCCCAGGTGCACTACTATATACCAGTGACCGGAGTAATGATAGAGTGACTGCATAGCGACGGATGACAGATGGGAGAAGTCAGGCATCGCTAATGGACTCTAGGTGAGTGTCGAGTAGCCCTTGAAGCTCCGGAGAGGCAGGTTTGGGACCGTGATGCCAAGGGAGGGGCCCAGGCATCCCTAGAAGGCCTAAGAAGGGCTTCGGGAGGTCCAGGCTGCCTCTGGGCGTCTCCGCTTGTGACCGTGACCGTGACAACCGGAATCGGAATCGGAATCGGAATCGACTCCGGGTGTGTGACCGTGACGTGACGGCCGGAAACGGAGAGGGAAGGCGTGGAGCGGAAAGGGAAGGAGTCTGGTCTAGCCCAAGGGCCGGGGAGTGTCGAAGAGGACCAATGGGAATGGCGGCCAGCCATGACCACTGGAGGGTAGCGACAGGGGTCACTCGGAGACGTCCCCGGACGTCTCCAGAGAGGTGGAGGTGTGAGGGCGTGCAGCCTGGGGCGCTGCAGTAGGCACGAGCCTTAACGGCAGTAGGCCTCACCCAGGGGAAGGCCCGATGACGGGGGCCGTGGTGGCGGAGTGGAGGGCGGAGCCATGGCAAGGCTCAGCCATCCGAACATAAGCCCGAACGCTGACATGGGTTGGGGACACCCAAGAGGTCCAGCAGGTAGAGATCGTAGGGAGACCTTGATAAGTGACAGCCCAGAGAGGCTAGAAGGCCATAGGCTCAAGGTCTCGGAGGGAAGTGGTGCGTCCACATCCGGAGAGGTCTCCGATGGCATTAGTGATCCCTGATGGTGACTCCGCCGGCGGAGAGACTCCCGGAAAGGGGTGGCCAGGGAAGTCGAAGACTGGGGATCACTGGATGTGGGATGTGGTGTGGGCAGTGGAGGGAGAGCGTCAGGGTGCGGAGACGCGGAGACACGAGCGGAGACGCGGAGACGCGAGCGGAGACGCGGCGCTTGATGGGATCAAGTGACGGCATCAGGGTTTCCCCTGACATCATCCCCCCTTCAAGCTGCGTCGCCCCGATGCAGGAAAAAAAATCGGGGGGTCACTGAGCTCGTCCTCCGGAGTCCCTTGTCCTCCGGTGGCCAAGCTCCTGTCTCTGTCGATGTCCAGAGACTGTCCATCTCCAAGAGCCAGTGTGACGGTACCTTGGCGTTGCTCCAGTGATTGCTGTTGCCAAGGTCAACCCATGGAGTACTTGCGTTCTCCACTGGTTGCGCGCCCATATTCGGAGACGCCCCGGAGACCTGCGGTCCCGGTGCCTCTCCGAGAGATGGTGCAACTACACCTTTGCGTAGCTTCGGTGTGCGCCCGCTTGCGCTCTGGTCGCATGTTGCTCCAGGAGGGTCCTCTGCGAGTCCCCTCCTATACCTCCTCCATCCCCCCTTCAAGAGTGCGGCGCCCCCGACGCACCACAGAAAAAAAAAGGGGGGGTCTGCGCTTAGCCAAAGCACCAAGTACACCTCCGGAAACGTCTCCGTTTGTGCCCGGAAACGTCTCCGAGCGTGACCGGAAACGCCTGTGACGTCACAGGGGCGATTCCGTCCATCTCTACTGGTCGTTGGAGATCGTTGGGCGGCAAGTGACTTGCCATGGGGTGATAGCATAGCGAGTGGCGAGCTCACTTTTACTGCACCCAGATGTCAGGTTGGGGGGGGGAAAGGAATTGCAGTGTGACTCCGGACACTGCGCTGTCAGCCGGGGCACTAAGCCTAGTGTTGCGGACTGGGTGGCAACAGCTCGACCCATCCTAGTTGTGCGGCAGAGGCGGGTTGACATAGGCATTCCAGAAGCGATTCCATTGTTCGGGGTCCGGCTGTACAATGGGACCCTTTGAGCATCTCCGCTTGTGACGTGACCGTGACGTGACTACCGGAAACGGAAACGCGATTCCGAGCGCGTGACCGTGACGTGACGGGCGGAGAGGGGTCCCATGAACGGAAGGGGCACCTGCAGAGCCCTGAACTGCAGTGACTGCCTAGGTAACACCATGGTGGATCCTCTAAGGCAAGGGTCCGGGGCAGCTATGTTGATACCAGAGACGTATGAGACGTCTCCGGGGGGGTGTGCTAGCTGAACTCCGATGCCATGTGAATGACATTGTGGGGTGGAGTCCGTCTCCGGAGAGTGAGGGGGGAAAGTCAGCACTCCGACTCAGCACCTGCCACTCGTGGCCTAGTAGGGCGGCCCTAGGCGAGCGGACTCATCATCTCGCATCTGGCGCGGGCCTATACGGCAGTAGGCCACGCCCAGAACCTAGCGGGGCAGCAACGAGTGGTGTCATGCCAAGGTGTCGCAGGCCGATCAAAGGGATCAGCCATCTCGCGGTTATCCCAAGGTCCAGAGTCGAACTGGACGCGTCGAGCCAGACACGTAGGGAAGGTCACCCGGGTAGTCCGATGAGAATCGGGGCCGGGCTGTGGGGCCCGCGGAGACACGTGCGTAGGGGGACACGGGTGATGGAGTATGGAGACTTGCCTCCCAAGGAAGCCGAGCCTTGCTCAGGGTGTGAGCGGTCTCATGTCAAGCCACGATGACAGCATCAGCGGAAAGGTCTCCGGAGATGCCCCCGGAATCAATCCAGGGATCATGTGCCGCCTAAATTCCGGTGGAGTTGTCACATGTCTGCCAAAATCTAGGCGGTCACATGATGTCGTGGTGGGGGTGCGGTTTAAGCAGGAGACAGAGGAGGCGAGGTGCATGGTGATGGCAGAAGGTGCGGAAGGGAAAGTCATCGCACCGGCAAAGACACTATGGTCAGCATCTTTGGCAGTAAGAGTGGGGAGCATGCAGAGGTAATGGCCATCGCAGCGACAACCGCGGGAAAGCGGAATCGGAATCGGAATCCGGAGTCGTTTTGATGCCATCAGGGCGCTCCGCATGGCAGGGGAAGCCCATTCCGACAGGTGGCTGGCAGCAGGAACGGCTAGGGACAGACCAGCGGTGGCCGGAGAGGCCAGCATTAGCCATGGGTGGAGGGAAGGAAGGCGGGGCCACGGTCGGAATCGGGGGGGAAGGGGGTCCGGAAGTGGTTCAGGACAGCCCGGGGCCATAGGGCGCGGGGCATGGGAAAGCTAAACCACGGCCGGAGGAGAACACCAAGGGCCGGGCAGGAGGAAGTATTGAGGCCTCACGAGGACCAAAGTGTTCGAAGGGGGGCTGGGGCTGTGCAGCGCAAGGTCGGGTGGGGCCGGGACGGAGCCATCTGTCGCAATCCACCAAGAATCCTCCTGCATGCAGCCCCTCCGGAGGCCACCTCCAGGTTACCGGCAGGGGGGTGTCAGAGACTGCGGGCCCTGGCAGGGAGTTGGGAGGTGAGGTCCGTATTGGTGGGCTTGTTCTGCTGTAAGGGCAACCTCGCGAGGCTCGAAATCAGAGTCCTGAGCAGAGGGGGAATCCTTAGTGAACTATTACAACAGGAAGGGACGCTACAGACTCACCTGAGCAGAGGGGGAATCCTTAGAGAACAAGCCAAGGAGCCCTCTGCCCAGGT